GTGTTGACAGTTGGAGAAATTGCTTGAGCTGCACGGAGAATTCAAAACGTATGAAAGCCAGCAGTCCAATATTAGAGAACACTGCTGTGCGTACGCTACACGTTTTGGACTATGATGGACTCGTTAGGCCTACCTGCTAGACTGGTCATGAATTAGTCAGGAACGTTTTAGTCATCTCTGTAGTACTAGTGATTCTTTTGAGGAACAATTCAGTGTGCCTTCCAGATGGCATCCTATCCCCTTTATAGCGCACTACTTTTGGCGAGGGCCCATAGGGAATAGGGTATCATTTGGTAGGCAGACACACAACACAGGTGAATCCTGCAAGTTGCTATGCAACCCCTCATCTATTCCAAAAAGGTTTTCCTTTCCTGAGAAAGAAGCATATCAGGCCCAGACGATCCATTCCTTTAGGTCTCCTGAGGGGACACGCGGACAGGCCAAGCAGACAGACTTCCCTGTCATAGTTAATGCAAAGACATTTCCCCCCCCTGCTGTGCAACTAAATTGGTATGGCCCAAATCCCAGAGGCCTCTAGCGAAATATAAATGTACTCTATATGAAACGTATTACCGACCACAGGGGTGTTTTTAAACATAGAGGCTTTCTGATGTCAAACGGACCGTAAATTAAGGAAGGGGGAGGAGATGGAGGAGAGAAAAGTGTATTATCTGTTTATTATTTTATTCCAGCCATATTTCAGAAGTAATGGATCTTAATATTCTCTGGTCGTCTGGACTTCTGGTCTGAGTGCTCTATCTGTTTTCATCATTAGGGTGCTGGCTCAGAGATTTATGTACACACACACACACACACACACGTAGGCGTACACACACTAGCCGGTTTCCTGCATTTAAGCACCCCATGTGTTTGCGTTTTAGTCACACATAGCTGATCTCTTGGGGCCACTTTGAAGCAGACTCCCCCAGAGTAGATCATAAAACAGAAAAATACGTTGTTTTTCACATAATCCTCCCCCTATGTACCCTAGACCCCTCCAACCCCCTCCTCACCACATCCCACCTCAGTCCCCAATTTGTGACGTGAAGGGCCGTTGTTCTGCTCAGAGGTTTGTCTTGAGCTGTTCCCCTCACTTTCTTTCACTGCAGATGTCTGACGAAAGCCTGCGTTGCTGTGTATTTTTCCCTGTATGTTTACCCCAATTTAGCCTAGTTTTGGTAAAGAAAATATATAAGAAAAGCTTTTCCCTAAAAGTTTTAAAGTCTCTCATGCTCCCATAGAAGATGATATTGGTTAAGACCTTAACTATGCCAGAGAGATGATGTTATGAAAGTGCCACAGATCAGGGGTCTGTGTGGGTGGTGGTGGGTGACAGAGCCAGGCAGCTTGGGGAATGGTGGGTTGACAGGATTAATGGTTACAGAGAAGAACTTTAAAGGTCTCTAATGCAACTCTGAATGTGAGCTCTGTGTGTGTGTCCTTCCTTCCTTAACTCCTCCACTAACCCATACTCTCCTTTTTCTCTCTCTCCACAGTACTTTGAGGTGCCCTTTGACTCCAACATGAACCGCACAAAGAACCGGCCCCTGGTCAGAGGACAGATAAGGTAAACTAACAATTGTTCTCTATCTGTGTCCCAAATGACACCCTATTCCCTATATAGTGCCCTTCTTTTGACCAGAGTTCAATGGGCCATGGTCAAAAGGTAGTGCACTACATAGGGAATAGGGTGCTATTTCGGACGTAACCTCTGTTTTTGTGTCTACTTCTGTTTCTGTCTCACCGGCTTGTCTCACAACAATTTTGCATAAAATATATATTTCACAATCATTCAGCCTTTATTTAACCAGGATAAAATCTCTTGACTTTAAAACCCTCTCTTTTGAGTGAGATCTGGATACCATCACCAAATACACTGCCACTGCCCTTGTCATGCCGTCTCCATATTGAGTAGGTAATCTGATCTTATCTAGTGAAGTGTATTACCAGTTGAGAAACTGGATCCTGCCACTTGGTGTAATATGTAAATGTTATTGCATGTCTCATGATAACGAGGGCAGGTACGGAGCACCGTGGGTACACCTTCAATTAAACAATAGTTCTGCGGAGCACGCAGAGCACAGCAACACCACACACACACACACACACACCACAGATCCATTTACACTCTTTTCCCAGTTAGTTGTGGTGCTAAGCCCAGGACAGGCTACAGGCTGTCTATACAGAGTAGTAGAATACAGCCAGGAGCCAGGCTGGGAGGGTGGTGTAGGCTACCTGTACCTTCTCTAGCTCGCTCTCTCTAGCTCTCTCTCTCGCTCTCTAGCTCTCTCTCTCTCGCTCTCGCTCTCGCTCTCTCTCTCGCTCTCTCTCGCTCGCTCTCCCATTCTTTCTTTGTTTTTCCTTCTCTTCGCTTTCTTTCTTTATTCTCTTTCGCTCTTTTTCTTTCTTTCTCTGTTTTTCTCTCTTTCTCGCTCGCTCTTCCTCTCGCTCTAGCCAGTATTACGATCCTTGTTGTGTCCTGGTTCTGAACCATGCTAGCCTACACACACAAACACAGCATTGGGCAGGGTCCCCCAACTGGTGTCCCGCGTGTCATTTTATTTGGCCCCTCAAGGTTTTGAAGCAAAACAAATAAACCTTTATTTATTTTATTGTTGGACATAAAAGACTAAAAACACCAGCAAATCAGCTCCAAGTAATATTAATTTTGGAAATCTGTTTCGAAGTATTCCCACAAATATGTGATCGCATACATATCTAAGCAAGGTTTGAAATTACTATGTTTTAGTCTAATATTATATCTGTTTGGGCTTCTTGCAATCATTTTGCTGTCTAAAATTATTTATGATTTTGTTCCGGCCCCCTGACAATCCGCTCAAGAAAAAATCGGCCCGGGGCTGAATCTAGTTGATGATCCCTGGCATAGGGGAACTCCGGGGTAAATGAGAAGACCCCTACCATAACAACTGTGAGATGCTGAAGCGTTGGTGTTGAACCCTGACCTGGCCTTATCTCGTCATGTCCACAGTGGAATCCTCATGGGATGTGTTGTTTAAAGGGACACTCCTCTTGTTGAGTTGGAGATTTAGGATGTAAACTGTTCTCCAAACAGACCCAGGGTGCTGGCGCAGCCTGGCTGTGTCCGTACATCCTGGTGTTGACGTGACCGAGGAGTGTGTGTGACACCCACGTAACCTGTGGCCCGATGTGGACCAGCTGGATGGCTATGGCTGCATCCCAAATGGCACCCCATTTCCTACATAGGGAATATGACTATAGCCTGCGTAGTGCACTGTATAGGGAATAAGGTGCCAGTTGTGACGCAGACAACGGCTACAGTCCCTGTCAAGAAAGCCCTCAGCATCTCACATTCTCTCTCTCCATCCTTTCTCTCACTCCATCCTCTCGCTCCATCCTCTCCGTGAGACTCCCTGGACCCAGCTCAAGCCTAGCTGAGATGATAAAGTATGCCCAATGAAGAAAAGTTCATTGTGTTTTTTAGTCTAGTTTAATCTGTATCTTCTAGAAGACCGTCCCTAGATAGCTAAATGTATACCAGAGCATACTGGGGGATGTCTTTCATAATCTGTAAGGACATCTTGGCATAGCTCTCCCTCTAACCTCTTGTTGAAATCTCAATAAGATGAACTCATTCTCTGTTGTGGTGTGACGTTGAAGACATTGAGGTTGCAGCATGTGGTGATTCTGGGCCATAACCAATTCAGTAAGATGGATGAGAGAGAGTGAGAGGACTCGGCTCACCACCATCTCCTTTAGCACCTCACTCTCTTGAGTGTGGATCTTATTTAAATTGAACACAGAGACATTCCTTAGTGTAGCCCTCTTCATTGAACTAATTGCAGAAGCCATGACACTCTGTTCCAGCCCCTTTCTTCTTGCCTGCCTGCCACCAACCACCCTCTCATCACGCTGAAGACACCCCTTCAACCCCCCAATTTATGCTCTTGCCTAAATCCTCATTCTCTCTTAATTCTCTCACTCCAGCTTGGTAAATAACTTTTAGAACTGAGTGAAGAACTTTTAGAACTGGGTGAAGAACTTTTAGAACTGGGTGAAGAACTTTTAAAACTGGGTGAAGAACTTTTAAAACTGGGTGAAGAACTTTTAGAACTGGGTGAATAACTTTTAGAACTGGATGAAGAACTTTTAGAACTGGGTGAAGAACTTTTAGAACGTGTCCAACTCATTCCACGGAGGGCCTGAGTGTCTGCGGGTTGTCGCTCCTCCCTTGTACTTGATTAATGAATTAAGGTCACTAATTAGTAAAGAACTCCCCTCACCTGGTTGTTTTAGGTCTTAATTGAAAGGAATACCAAAAACCTCTAGACACTAAGCCCTCCATGAAATTAGTTTGACACCCCTGTTTTAGAACTGGGTGAAGAACTTTTAAAACTGGGTGAAGAACTTGTCTTACTCTCCACAACTGGGGGCTAAGTTCCCTCTTATAGCCAGCCAGCTACATGGGCTAAGTGTTTAGTGCTGACTTTACCCCCCGGCTGACAGCGTTATGACTGGGACAGTGTCCAACTGTAAACTAAGGCCAGATAACCCCCCTCAGGCCGGGTGATGCACTCCCCATTTCGACCCCCACAGAGATGACCCAAACCCAGAACACACACACATGCACACTTACACACACACACCACTGCCACATAAAACAGACATAACACCACTAATCACATTAATACCCTATCTCCCAAACTCAACAGAAAATAAAAGCCCTGTTTTCACTTCAGAAGGCCTGCCGTGTTTGGTCAAGATTTTAATCTCCAAATGTCCCCCCTCTAATTTACAGCGTATTTACTTGAACCAACCCTGGAGTCAGTCGCTAGCTAGCTAGCTGCTTTCAATAAAAGACAGAGAGAGGAGGAGGAAGTCTTCATCCGGTTAAAAGCGGGAGCCTCTGTGGTTAGGGCTGAGGATGGTTTGATCTCTGGGCGTGCGTAATGCGTACATCCTCGTAGCCACACACTCATTGTCTTGCAGGGCCACTTTTATCCCTGACAAACGCTTATCAGATGAGCTCGCCTCTAAGCCCCTGTTTTCAGACTGAGCGCCGTTCCGCCGGCCCGCAGCTAACTGTCTCAGAGTGTGTGGCCCGTCCGTGTGGCGCTCGCTGTGTGTGTGTGTCTTTGCATGTGGGGCTATTATCATCTTCTCCTGTAATCTCCACAAGTCCACATATCTCAATCAGACCATGAGAGCAATTGTTATTCTCTTCTGTCTGTCTCTGTGTCTTTAAACCAGGTGTTCAGTATTCTCTGTGTCTTTTAAGCCAGGTGTTCAGTATTCTCTGTGTCTTTAAACCAGGTGTTCAGGATTCTCTGTGTCTTTAAGCCAGGGTTCAGTATTCTCTGTGTCTTTAAGCCAGGGTTCAGTATTCTCTGTGTCTTTAAGCCAGGTGTTCAGTATTCTCTGTGTCTTTTAAGCCAGGTGTTCAGTATTTTGAAGGAAGCTTAGCTCGCTATTGTATGCTGAATTTGTTGTTGGTGAAATACCATGTGGGGAAGTTGTATTAAGAGGTTTCTCTCCCTCCTTATCCTCTCTCTCCCTCTCCTTCCCTCACCCCCTTCCTCTACCCCTTGCTCCCTTCCTCCGTCATTCAGTCCTCTCCATGCGGTGGGCTTTGCCCTAGCCTGTGGGGTCCCTGGTATCACCATGTTGACCCTGGCTGTGAACCCTCTAACAGGGGCCTTGGGGGCCCTCAACATCTTCCTCTACACCTGCTGTTACACACCCCTGAAAAGGCTCAGCATCATCAACACCTGGGTGGGGGCCGTGGTGGGGGCCATTCCCCCCATCATGGGCTGGACGGCGGCTACGGGTGCTCTGGATCCAGGTACTGAACTGGAGGACACACACACACACACTTATTGTACACCTCTGTTTGCTGGGTCCTATGGTCCTCTCCCACACACACAGTCATGATACTTGGTCCTATGTGTCTCCCTCACACACACACACACAGTAATGAATACACCCCATCTTATGTTTCACGATGAAGCAGCCGGATTATGACAAGCTGTTCAAACTGAATATGTTGGTAAATGTGGGATTGAGGAGAGAATAGAAGGATACACCCACACTTGTTCTTCCAACTTTGGGCCAAAGAGCAGCTGTGGTGTGTTATAAAGTTCATACGTCCATATTAGACTCTGTGTAGACTCATGATAATACATTGGTGTTCGTTCCTACAGTTACGTATGTTAAACTGATCAAGTGGTTCAAATCTGACACTTCAGAGCGACTCAGACGGGGATTATTGTTTTCCAAACTAGATATCAAGCTAGTGGGAAATACACTGTTTATCACAGCCTAAGTTAACATGCTGTGTGGTCACTCCCAGGAGAGTTAGGAGCTAGGCTGTAGTGTAGAGTAGAGGTCATTTTTCCATGTTGTACAGAACCAGTCAAAAGTTTGGAAACACCTACTCATTCAAGGGTTTTTCTTTATTTTTAATATTTTCTACATTTGTAGAATAATAGTAAAGACATCAAAACTATGAAATAACACATATGGAATCATGTAGTAACCAAAAAAGTGTTAAACAAATCAAAATATATTTGAGATTTGAGATTCTTCAAATAGCCACTCTTTGCCTTGATGACAGCTTTGCACACCTGGAATGCTTTTCCAACAGTCTTGAAGGAGTTCCCTCATATGCTGAGCACTTGTTAGCTGCTTTTCCTTCACTCTGCGGTCCAACTCATCCCAAACCATCTCAATTGGGTTGAGGTCGGGTGATTGTGGAGGCCAGGTCATCTGATGCAGCACTCCATCACGCTCCTTCTTGGTCAAATAGCCCTTACACAGCCTGGAGGTGTGTTGGGTCTTGTCCTGTTTAAAAACAAATGATAGTCCCACTAAGCGCAAACCAGATGGGATGGCATATCGCTGCAGAATGCTGTGGTAGCCATGCTGGTTAAGTGTGTCTTGAATTCTAAATAAATCACTTACAGTGTCACCAGCAAAGCACCCCCACACCATCACACCTCCTCCTCCATGCTTCATGGTGGGAACCATACATGCGGAGATCATCCGTTCACCTACTCTGCGTTTCACAAAGACACGACGGTTGGAAGCAAAAATGTCACATTTGGACTCATCAGACCAAAGGACAGATTTCCACCCGTGTAATGTCCATTGCTCGTGTTTCTTAGCACAAGCAAGTCTCTTCTTCTTATTGGTGTCCTTTAGTAGTGGTTTCTTTGCAGCAATTCGACCATGAAGGCCTGATTCACGCAGTCTCCTCTGAACAGTTGATGTTGAGATGTCTGTTACTTGAACTCTGTGAAGCATTTATTTGGGCTGCAATCTGAGGTTCAGTTAACTCTGATGAACTTATCCTCTGCAGCAGAGGTAACTGGGTCTTCCTTTCCTGTGGCGGTCCTCATGAGAACCAGTTTCATCATAGCGTTTGATGGTTTTTGCGACTGCACTTGAAGACGGTTTCAAAGTTCTTGAAATCTTCCGTATTGACTGACCTTCATGTCTTAAAGTAATGATGGACTGTTGTTTCTCTTTGCTTATTTGAGCTGTTCTTGCCATAATATGGACTTGTTTTTTTTACCAAATAGGGCTTTCTTCTGTATACCACCCCTACCTTGTCACAACACAACTGATTGGCTCAAACACATTAAGAAGGAAATAAATTCCACAAATTAACTTTGAACAAGGCACACCTGTTAATTGAAAAGCATTCCCAACCTCCCGAGTGGCGCAGTGGTCTAAGGCCACTAGAGATCCTGGTTCGAATCCAGGCTCTGTCGTAGCCGGCCGTGACCGGGAGACCCATGGGGCGGCGCACAATTGGCCCAGCGTCGTCTAGGGTAGGGGAGGGAATGGCCGGCAGGGATGTAGCTCAGTTGGGAGAGCATGGCGTTTGCAACGCCAGGGTTGTGGGTTCGATTCCCAGGGGGGTATGAAAAAAAGTATGAAAAATAAAAAGATTACATAAGTCGCTCTGGATAAGAGCGTCTGCTAAATGACTGAAATGTAATTCCAGGACTACATCGTGAAGCTGGTTGAGAGAATGCCAATAGTGTGCAAAGCTGTCATCAAGGAAAAAGGTGGCAACTTTTTATATATTTTATCTATCTATCTATCTATCTATCTATCTATCTATCTATCTATCTATCTATCTATCTATCTATCGATTTGTTTAAGACTTTTTTGGTTACTATATGATTCCATATGTGTTATTTCATAGTTTTGATGTCTTCACTATTATTATACAATGTAGAAAATAGTAAAAATTAAGAAAAACCCTTGAATGAGTAGGTGAGTCCAAACTTTTGACTGGTACTGTATATCCGTATATCCACTAAACTGCAGCTATTATATAGGTTAAATTATGTTTCTATAGTTTGTCTTGTCATTCCAACACAATTAGTCTCTGCTGACTCCGTGAGACCTCTTTCACAACTGACATTCAACACAACAGAGTTTGTATGTATTTCACTGGGTTGACGAGTACCTCTGTGACCAGCCCTGACCCCCCCCCCCCCCCCCCCACTACGACCAGACTTTTATTTACATACTCCACAACCCGGAGTCCCACGTTGCTAACACACACACAGTATTGTGTGTGTTTACGAGTGCGCTAGCAGTGTGTGTCTGTGCGTGCGTGGATGTCTCTAGTGGATGAGGAAGTCAGAGCAGAGGGGGGTCTCCTCTCTCCTCTCCAGATTGTTTGGCAGACATGTTAAGTGTTCTGTTATGGCAACTGTGAACTGTGTTGCAGCTTGTCACCGGGGTCTCTCAGTACGGTACACACACTAGTTTACACTCCCCAAGCCAATATCTTGGGACTTGCTCTCAACAAAATGTTAATCATGAATCTATGGGCTTTTCACGTGGGAGTGAATGTGTTTTATTCCCATTGAACTTCCGCTGGGGTTTTCTCTTCCCTTGGTGGCCCTCTTGATTCAATGACTGCTCTCATGCTATACAATGACATTCATGCCCTTTCTGTAAAAAGGACCCCCTCAGATTCGGCTAGAAGTATGACTTGGACATTGGCATTTCAACAAGGTCAATTGGGGGTCATTTAAATGTTTTAAAAAATAAAGTCATAAAATAATACAACAAAAGTCAATCTAAACTGACAATAGTTACCATCATCTGTCCTGGTAGTTGCTACTACAGGCTGCACTATAGTCCTGTTTGATCACTGTGTTTGGTGAGACCGGAGAGGTTTGCAGTAGAGCTGCCTTATGGCCCTGTTTTCCTAGGGGATTTAGGCTACTCTTGTGTTTACAAAACGCAAGAAGAGCGGAGTGAAACAAAAGGAAACCCTGTATGTAACGCTCGGGTGCCTCTGCAGTGCTGCCGAGTGAGTCTTTGTGCCTTGGCGACCGGGCGGGTCTCCTGTTTCTCTCTCTGCCGCTACTTGCTCTCTGGTGGAGCGTTTACAACGCCACACCGTACACGTGGCCCCGGGCTGTTTGTTGCCCCCACACACACAGACAGGATGTGCAAGGCGAGCCGATGAATGGGTCTCTTTCGCTCTGTTTAACCACAGGTCTGAGAGGAACAGAACAGACAGAATGACAGGGGGATTCCTCCTCTCTTTCTAGTGTCTACAACATCCATGTTCTCGTATTCAGTTACTTATTCACTCTCTCACCTCACAACATCTCCTGTATCCTGTACAAAGGCTGTGTCATAGGGGTCAGGGCAGCGAAATGTCCAGAAAGGAGAATTTGATTGAAGAAAGACGTAGATGCAGTCAAAAAGGAAATCAGTCCCTCCAGTATTCTGCGTTGGCAAAAAAAATAGCAAAATCAACAATTTCCTGCATATTATGCACCGCACTGTTTTCCGTCAAATCATCACAGTTTTATCGCATACAACTGACCCATCACCGCAGTACAAAAAGAAGGTAATATGGTTCAATCAAGCCACATGTCAACAAACTTTTTCCCTCCTCAGCGCATTTTCATGACGAATTGGACAAAATCATTGCCATGCAAAATGTCAGAATTGCTGCAGCAAAATCAAGAATTTCTGCCCACAAATATCACCAAAAATCCCTGCAAAATCCCTGCGAGAGGGACTGGGAAATGCAACACCAAGAGATTTGTGAATTCTCTATCTAGTCATTGTCAATATATTCTCTTCTCCCTCCCCCTCTCTAGGTGCTCTGTTGCTGGGTGGCTTCCTGTACTGCTGGCAGTTCCCCCACTTCAACGCTCTGAGCTGGAACCTGCGTGAGGACTACTCCCGGGGAGGCTACCGTATGATGTCTGTCACCCACCCGGGCATGTGTAAGAGGGTGGCCCTGCGCCACAGCCTGGGACTGATCGGTCTCTCGGTCCTGGGCCCCGTGCTGGACGTCACCACCTGGACCTTCCCTCTAGTCTCCCTGCCCATCAACCTCTACATCAGTTATCTGGCCTTCCGCTTCTACCAGAAGGGAGACCGCAGCTCCGCCCGCAAGCTCTTCTTCTGCAGTCTGTGGCACCTGCCTATGTTGTTGCTGCTTGCGCTCACCTGTAAGAAATCCCGGACCGACAAAGAGGGCGTGGCGAAGACCTTGAGCCTAGCCCCAGCACCCCTGCCCCTCGCCATGCAGAACTAGGATAGTCCCTTAGACCCCCACCACCACCACCTCCAACTCCCAACACACTCGCCATTACTTCTCCACCCGCCCTTCATACAAATGGAGATATTACCTTACGATGTCTTCCTCCCTCTGCTATCTGTATCCAGAGAGAGGGGAGTACTAGGGACACACTCCATTTGATCTGAGTGTGTGTGGACTTGTGGTGCTCACTGACTGCGCTCTCCATGCCCTCAAGACAAGGCGACGAGGAGGAACAACATGGCTGAAATGGTTGATCAACGAAAACCACACATATTGTGAATTCCTGAAATGACTTCAGGGTGTAATTAATCATTTCAATGTGTGTATATATTTATTTATAAAGGAAGGCTGCACTATAGTCCCTGTCCATGTTATATGACTGTTATTAATAAGAAAGTTGTACAGTGTAAATTGCTCCTATGGATTCGCAATATTGCCACAATCAGGAAAGAAACCCATGTATTGTATCAACACAAGATGACGTAAAGAAAGAACTCCTGAGTGGCGCAGTGGTCTAAGGCACTGCATCGCAGTGCTAACTGTGCCACTAGATCCTGGTTCGAATCCAGGCTCTGTCGCAGCCGGCCGCGACCGGGAGACTCATGGGCGGCGCACAATTGGCCCAGCGTCGTCCAGGGTAGGGGAGGGAATGGCCGGCAGGGATGTAGCTCAGTTGATAGAGCATGGCGTTTGCAACGCCAGGGTTGTGGGTTCGATTCCCACGGGGGGCCAGTATGAAAAAAAATATGTATTCACTAACTGTAAGTCGCTCTGGATAAGAGCGTCTGCTAAATGACTAAAATGTAAATGTAAATGTAAATGAGTCAACTGTGATGGCAATGAAGACGTGTAAGATAAATGAGAGACAACAGTACGTTGATTTACGTAAATATTTGTTCATACATTTTTTAAATCGATTTAAGGAAATAAGTTTAAAGCAACCTAGCCACTGAAATGCAATGATAAGTTATTACCTGCCTATGTTACTTGACTGTAACGATTGCCTATGCCTATTGATGTTAGCTGTTCAGCAAACTCAGTGGAGGGTATTATTCTGTCTGCAACATACTGCTTTAACTCTACATGGTTCACCTGCACCAAAACACAAGAGAATAGTTGACCTGTAAACCATTTTTGTAAGACATAAAAAGGGTTACAAATGTTCTCTTACAATAAACGTCTTATGATTTACCCAGTTGATTTGATTTACTTTTGTTGAGTTGAGCCAGTTGATTGATTGTCTAATTATTTCATCATACTGCATCAAAGGTGTGTTGTGTGTCCTTCAAGCATAGAAATAATTGTGGTATCCATATTAAAGCCAATATAGAGCGGGTTTCATTATTGACACCAAGTCCTTCCCACAGGGGGCGTCATTCATATCAGTGCATACTGCGTCCTCGCGCTATCTGACATAAGAGGGATGAGTCTTACATCTATGTAGATATTCATCACCCACACATACACAACCACTACATGCCAGCTAGATAATTGTGTTGGCATGGGCATAAACTTTGGTAATGTCAAGATTCAGGTTAATCATAGCCTCAGTAGACACACTTGTTAGTTAGTTACATGAATATCAATATCACCCAACACCTTCTATTTAGCAACAACCAACCCACTGCTGCACCTGTCACTTAGTCCAACACATGCTCCCCTTCCACTCTTTACCCCTAGTTTTGGTGCTTGTTTACATTTAACCTCACCCACTTCCATTAAACAATGTTGGTGTCCCGAATGGCACCCTATTCCCTATACAGTGCACTACTTTTGACCAGGGCCCATAGGGCTTTGGTCAAAAGTAGTGCACTATATAGGGAATGGTGTGCAATTTGGGGGGCACAATCTATTTTCCTCCCCTTCCTTATTTAACAAAGGGGGTTGTGGGATTTGTCACATGCATGCCGCGAGAGGAACAGAACTGTGTAATATCCTCCTAAAGGTCTCAGAATGGATACAGTGTTCCATATCAGGGAGGGGAAGGGCTGGGGCACAGCTGTTACTGTATAGGCTGAAAAAACACCACCGCAACCTATGTGTGTCTGTGTGAGTTTCTCTGTGTCTAGCTCTCTATCTCTGTGTAGATTAAATGTCAGTTGCCAACCTTCTGAGGGCTCAGTCAGTGTGATTGCCTGCCTGTCACGTTTACAACATCCGCTCAGACGAGTCTGCGAAAGCAGTGTGGTAGACTGGACCTCACTCGATTCCATCCACGGTGAGGCAAGGGGGTCTGCCCCTGCCTTACCCTCTCACCTTTCCCCTGCTGGGGTTCCTCCTCGCCTCTCGTTGCCTCCCAAATGGCACCCTATTCCCTACATAGCGCACTACTTTTGACCTGGGACGTATACACAGACCTCTGCTTCGCTCTCCCTTCCAATCTCAGATGCTGTACAAACTTGCTAGGCTTTTAATACAGCTCTCGCCTGTTGCAAAAATGACAAGTGTATAGCGACTATGACTCGTATTACCAGGCCTCCACTCTGAGATGTCTACAGTCCTGGAGCTCCCTTCGCTGATGGATCTGGTCACACCAGAAGCCTTGATTCCTCACCTGCTGTCTTGTTAACAGGTAAATGATATCCTCCTTTAAGGATAACAATTGTTCCATCTTTAAAAAGTAGCCTAGTTTTATATTTAAGTAATAGTCTTAAATATAAAAGTTCTTATTTTCCTCGTTGTCTGTGTTTTATTTCATATAACTATTTCAGCACTATTTATTCCCTTTATTTGGAATAAGGCGGAGAAAATGTATCAATGTGGTTTGGTATGATTTCATGAACTAGCAGTATTTCATTATAAGAAGAATTCCCTTATTTCATCCCAAAGTTATGCATGCATAATAATTAATTTAAAGGAAGTCTCTCCTATTATCTGTCCCAACTGGCACCCTATTTAGTGCACTACATGGGGAATAGTGTGCCATTTGGGACTTAAAACCCCTATTCAGTGCAGTGACATCACCCTTTAAATCACATTTTATTCCTCAACTGAAGGCACCAGAGCGTCAGGCAGCAGGGCCTTTGCCAGAGTCAACAACAAAGAGTGAAATATTGATAAACACGCGGAAGGAACTTTCCATCCAGCCATCCACGGTGAACGCATGCTGGCGTTTATGTCAATAGTGACCCGACATCTGGGCTCTGATCTCAGAGAATTAAACGAGAAAATGGCTCACATTCCACGACAACCTAGCTGATGGATCGTATAAAGACTTTGCCTAATAGTTGCCTTTTGTCTTCCACTTTACTATCGGAGGAGATCGAGGCTCTTCATGTTCTGTACATCCCTCAATGTTATTTGGTCGATCAAGTTCACTAGCCTACCATAGGTTGTTAGGCCTATATTAGCGTATGCTAAACGGGATGTAGTTGTTCAGCATAATTTTGGGACTCTGGAATTATTTGACTTTTTAGAATTGTATAGCCTAAATAAAAATGTACATATGAAAAAATATTTAAACGATTTCTTGATTTGAATATTGTCTAGTAGGGCTAGTCTATAGGGCCCAATGTTAAACACATAAGAACGAATGAACCCGAGTCAATTTAGCGTATATAGGCTTCCATTAACAGAAGATACAGCCCTACAAAGAGATGCACTCCCGAAGGAGGACCGAGTTGATTCTTGACGGTAACATCTGGCCGACTCTCCCGGCGCTGCCTTATTTGTCTGGTCAGTCATGTAAAGTGGCCTACCCCCGGTGTCGTGGATTTACCTCCAATGCCTCGGTAAAGTAGCATACTTTTCAAGTCACTTTGGGGCCTTTTAACAGATCCTGCGCACATTACTTGATCTTCTTTGAAAATTATGTTTCACTTGTGAGATATTCAGTCTCAAGACACAAAAACACACAGTAGTGTAAAGATTTCAGTGACTCGAAAGTATGGAATTGTATAGCTATGCCTATGTCTTTTTATAGTGGCCTGTAAATTATCTAGCATAAACATCACTGAAATCTTTGCAATGTGAAGTGTCTTTGTCAAAATGTTCAGGCTAAAGTAGGCTAGTCTTTTTTGGCAGTCGTTTTTTTATCATTTGGTTTATCAGTTCTTTTTCAGAATAAGACAAATATATTCTACAATAAGGTTTCCACTACCTTCCGTGGTGGGACCCCTAATTAATGTGATTTTAGATAGAATTTAGATGTCCTTTGAAGTTAAATTGATAAATGTTTGGGTTGTCATTGACTTGATGTCTGCCGTGCAAAGTTGTTAAAATATTGCTGTAATTTAGCACTGTTAAGATCTTTTTGATGTTTGTCCTTCTTGATAGTTTAAACATTTACAAAAAACATGCTAAAAGCATGAAATAGAATAGTTTATTGTCCTCGGAGAATGGGTTTAGTTTTCATGTACCGTGCATCACTGAGTTTGTAGGCTGTTGGGCGGCGCTGCAGTCTGTATGTTACTAGGCTACACCAGTTGCCCTTGCAATTAACGAAAAAATAATTGATTGATTGACCAAATATTTGTCTAATTTACTTATTTATGAAGAAAATGTTTACATATTCAATAAGAAATAATAACAAATATCTACCTTTATGAATGAGCATTCATATGTTGCTCCAAAACTTTAAATCATGCTTAATACACATTATAACATTCATATCCATGTGAGAGTGAAAAAGTTCTCAAGTATACAAATGCGTTTATTTCCTCATAAATAGCCAGACACCTTCAGCGCGATCAGAAAGTTTGGGGACTTGTTGGCAAGCTGGTTCGAAATTCCAGCACACCCTGTTTTCGTTTACAGTCGACATTGTTCTGCATATTTACATTGAATTTAGGCCAACGTGGTCATTTCCGATGGTATAAAAGTAGTTTAATATTAACAAATAACAAACTGATAGGCCAAAGTCCTCTTCAATTGAATGAAGACATATTTTTTCTTACAAGACTTACATAACTCAAAATTCTAATTGGAATCATTGTGTTGTTGTTTTCGATAATAATAATAATAATAATAATAATAGTAATAGGCTAATAATAATA